GCTATTTTAGAAATGTTGCATTGGCAACTAGCTGAAATAAAATAAGTTAAACTGATATGAAGAAAAAAAGAAAAAAAGTTTATTTTATTTCAAGTAATGAATTCATTATTTTTGTGTGTGTGTGTGTGCGTGTGTGTGTGTGTGAATTCTTATGGTTTTACTTTTTTATGGTTTTAGTTTTAGTTAATTGTTATAACCCTGATTTGAGCACAGTTTGAGACATTAAGATTTTTTTTTTTTTTTTGGAGAAACTAACATTAACTGGTGAGATCTTAAAAATTTGTTCTAAACAAAAAGTACTGAAGATATAAACTTCGAGGCACGTAATTCTTTTCTACTGTAATGGAGCAGCGATTTTGTTACAAAGCAGAACGTGCAACACTCCCAGTGAACTACAGTAAGTGTTTCAAACTAAAGTGCACATGTTTTACAGGCTGAATACAGCTGTGCCCAGTGACATCTCATTTACTTACTATTAAGTGTCTGAAACAAAAGTCTTGTATCTTTTAAATATTTGATGACATGAAATGAAATCCACTGATCGGTTCTTTCTCAGAAGAATTCACCGCAGCCGTCTGAAAACACAGTCGCCAAAAAGCCAAAATCTGCAGTCTTATCCGCGTAGATCTGAGCAGACTAATTAGGATTGAGACCTAAGCATGATAGAAATTTCAGTTCAATTAGGAATTCTGTACACAATTCTTTTTTGTGAATAAGGTTTGAACTGAAACACTGTTTCCCAAAAGCAAGAACTCACAATGAATTACAAAGTCTGTTAAGGAACAACACAAAACACACTAGATAAGCATTAAAACGAGCAAAAACAACTCAAATATTTCTTATTTTAATTTCAACCCCTCAAAGAATCCAGAATCCACACAGTCTTTTAAAAGTGTGACTTCCAGAGCTGGAAAGATCATGAAAAATCAGTAAAATCTGAAAACGCCATGGTTTTTATAATCAAAATGCACTTTTCTAGTTACGCCAAGCTCTAAAATATTTTATTGGGTAAAAATTGTGAGTAAAAATGATCATCCCTAATTGTTATCACAAACGACTGGAAAGTCATGCAAATTGATTGTTTAAAAAGACTGAAAACCCTGAAACACATTCAGCTCTTAAAACGTGGATGGAATTGCGGCATCCAATCGTAAAAATGGAATGTACTGTTTAACACGGAATGTCACAGAATTTGGAAATTTTGGAAGAATAGATCCAATCAAAAGTAGGGCTGTACATACAGTATAATCAAACTGCAATATAAGCATGTGAATATTAAACTGCAAAAAGACTGCTATTTAATATGAAGTCTGCATGTAATTGTTTTCAGACACACAGAAACTCAAAGCTCTTCACTACAACCTGACAAAATAAAAGTTTGGCTTAACTTAAATTATAGCAGAAATATATTACTATTATACAGTAGAATCCATTCAGAAAAATAATTAAAGATAATAATAATACAGTTTATTAAAACATAATTTTTTTAAGGAATATCCCACAATTTTTGCCAATGTTTTAATTTAAACAGAAAACGCTGCACTTTGCCAAAAAAAACAAAAACAAAAACAAAACAAACTGAACTGTTCAAATTTCATTTGATTACATTTTAAAAGATTAATTAAATTGTTAGTTTTATGTATTACCACCGTTTTTGATAATAAATCTATATTCAACAATAAAATACAGAATCCAAAAAACAACAACAACACATTTTTGAAAATAAATACACATTTCATATGCCACTGTTATTGTTCAAATTAATAAATTATTAAATTGTTACAATTTTATGAATTCTGTTTAGAAGACATCATTTTTTATTATAAAAATTTTATCAAACTTGGATTTTAGAATGGATTTCAGAAAAATTACAATGGAAAACACAGAATTTGGGAAAATAATAAACAGGATTTTGTTTTCACTGATCTAGACTGTTATCCATTTACATTAGCCATCGGGATGAAGGACAGAACTTCTGCCAATCTATGGGTCACAGTTCTTATTAAAGGGGTCCTATTATGCTTTTTCACTTTTTTAATTTTAGTCAGTGTGTAGTGTGTATGTTTGGGCATTAAAAAGATCTAGAAAGTTACAAATCTCAAAGTCCACTCCAAAGGGAGATATTTCGTTTTTCAAAAATCCCTTTTCAAGAACTACAACGAACGGCTCGTTTGGACTACAGCATTTGTTTTCCGGG